TATATATATATATATATATATATATATATATACTTGTAGATCATTGTAATAACAACATATCAAATTTGTTCTGATTGTTTAGGGTGAAGGTTTTGTCAAATTAGGATCCAGTGCATAAACTAATGAAACCTGTTATTGTTATTATTATTTCTTTGGAAAGATGTGATGGTTGTATTGTAATAGAAGGCACAATTCATGCACTGAGATGAGACATTGTCAGATAATTCTGGGGAACATGCATTTATGTGGCATGCAAATAAGCATCATATTATCTTATTGTGGATGTCCCCTCATGCATGTTACTACACAAAAGCACCTGCATGCTTCAAACTATAATTCTCAGGTTCATGGTTTCCTACAACCTTGTCAGATAGACAAAAAAACCCCTAAACATGTCCATTAGAAAAGCAATGCTGCAAGTGAAATGAAGTTCCATAAATCATTAGCAATGTGTTAGATACCATATTCATGCCAATTATCCAACAAATAATAATAATAATAATAATAATAATAATAAAATGCAGGAGTATAGCACTAGGAATTCACATCACTAGTCCATGCAATCCTGTATAGGATTAAGAGCCTTTTCCTTTCTCTCCTGTGTCACCTGCAACATTGGAACAGTGTCACACATGACTGTCACATGGAAAGCCCAATCTATCACTTTGAGGACTCACATGTGATGAGAACAGTCTAGACAATGATCTTTGACAAGATAATTGTTCTTTGTAATGATTGACCAGTCCATACATGGCTTTGATCCCATTTGGTTGTTTGCAGGTGATTTGGTGCTTTGATTGGCAAATGCAGGCCCCTCTGGAAACACTTTCTTATTTGTCCATTGGCTGCCAAGTCCAAATTCAGATGATCCACTTCACATGAACTAATCATCATCAATCATTAAAGAGCATGCTGCCTCACCATGAACATGAGAAACAGGTAGCAGCCAAATGGCATGAGTACATCACAAGAACATGAACATAACAAAATAGAAGATTGCATTTGAGGGAGGAAATAAATTTTGAGTATGTCATTAGTTGGGGGATTTGTTTTAGCTCACAAACATCAGAAGCAGCATAACAGTATTATGATTGATGACTTCCATGGAGAAAGTTCAATTCTTTTGTTAATCACTTCTGGTCAGGCTTGAGTAGGTGAACACTAATCCATGCTCAGATTTATACAAGATTAAGCAAGAAAAAAAGAAAGAGATTAGTGAATAAGTACCAAACTAGTCACAGAACCATCCTAACCTGTGAGATCATATTTAATGTTTGTGGAAACTACAAGAACTTCTTCATCCTGAGATGTGCTAAGGTTTCCAATGGATGCTTGAATGATTAACTTAAATCCACAAATAAGTTCAAGTGAAGGTGTCTAGACATGATGGTGCATAAATATAATAAACCCTGGGATTCAGGCAGAGCATGTGGCTACATGAAAGCCTCAAATCTCCATTTCTCTTACTGAGTTCACCAAGTTTCATCCTATATGTCATTTTTTGTGTCAATCTACAGTTTCACATATAGATCTCTATGAACTCTGTCAATGAACATCTTCCAATCTCAGAGAGAAAGGAACATCCATCAGATGCCAAAATTCGCAATCAAGGACCTGTAAGTTAGTTCTCTAGTTGCCAAATGTTGATAGCGTTGCTTTTAGGTAGCTGGCTGATATTATCCACCAGAGTGAAAAAAGAAGATTGAGAAAAAAACAAATTTGGCCAAGAAATTGAAGCAATGGATAATGTCACCAGCATCAGCAGCCCCACTGAACAGGTTTTAGATTTCAGAGGCTGGACAGTACAACCAATAATGCATTTGAATACAAACTATTCATCCACTAAATTCATTTGATACTCCAACAAGGACACAGTCAGGAATCCATCAGAGCAAGTTGAAAAATCTTAATATCAACAGGTCAAGAAGCCATCATCCTTTGCCTGAGTAATAGGCAAGCATAGTCTCCTCTCTGCAGTCGAAAGGAATCATCGCTGCCACAAAAAAGAACGGAGTTATTCCAAAATCCCAACCACTTACTTCTCCAACAAATGGATTGAATGAGAACATCTCAAAGAACATATAGAACATATTTACATCTGAGAAAGAAACAGTTGGTTTAGACATCCATATCGTGTTCATTAGTGTTTGATCAGCGACATACAAAAGAACATCAACATTGAGAAACAATTAATCTTAGCATAGCAGTCAATGGCATTGCAAACTCCTATCAAAAGCATGACTGGAATCCAGAGGCTATCAAGTATTTGCCTACACCATTCTGTGGCTGTAATGGTAATAACTTCACATCAGCACGTAGATCATGTCAAAAGAAAACAAAGTTGATCTATTTCTGAGCAGTATGGAGCCACCTAACACATCAGTCATCGGTTAGCTCCACATCTAATCCAAGTGACTTGTAAAGCAATTATTTGTTCTTTAGATATTCCGGGTTGTCTTGATGAAGAAATAACAATGTTTTAAAAATTGAAGGTTAAGGAAAATATTGTCGGTGTGCAGATCATAAGTGTCAAGAAGAACCTACATTGCTGCAAGTTTGGAATTGCATTAGTTATGCATTACAAAACCAAGTTTCGCTACACATGACAATAATGCTAAGAAAAGCATTTCTGACCCAAGAAACAATTTCAACTTCCGACCAATTTCTACATGCTATGAAGGCATCAAAATTATTGACATCTTTAAGTTTGATCATAATGTTCAAGGACAAAGGCCACCTTGACCACATCATATGCTTTTGCGAGACTGCAACCAAAGACCTCCAATGTACCATGCTCTGAGTAGCATCAGTGCCAGCTCAATGCAGTGTAAAGATCTGGATCAGTATTGCAGAGTCAATTCTCACCTGGAGATGAAGCAATGAAGGGAAATTATTTTCCTAAGCTCATGGCTGCTCCTCATCTCGTCTCGATCTCATTAGCCTCCTGCGCCTCCTTGGTGCCTGAATGTCATTGTCTGAGTTCCAGTCATCATCATCTTGCAGGCCTAATAGGTTCTCACCCCATAGATGGCGGTGTGTGGATGAGCGCCGACGGGTCCTCCAAGCCCTTGACGATCTCCTCTGTTCATCAAGTGAACCTATCGGACTGCCAATCATATGAAGCAGAAAGAGCGTAGGCCACCATGGCCCATTCCCATCACCTGACAGGCTATCTGCATCATCAACGACATAATCCCCAAAGACTATTGCACCTGGCATCGCTGATCTGATGGCACTGAGGATATCACTATGCTCCTGCTGGTTTTCTAGCCGACGCCAAGCACGTTGCCTTGATGGATCAACCTCAGCTGGCCTTGTCATGGGATGGACCCTCCTGGCATGCTTACGAAGCTCCTTATAGTTGCCAGAAAAAGAGCATGATTCCCTAGAGCAGCTTCTTAGCTTCTGGTCCATATATTCTCTGGCTTCCTTAACAATCATCCAACCTAGTATAGTACCCCGGCAGAGAGGGCACTTCAAGGAGTTGTCCTCTGGTACATTACCACCACCGGATCCATCAAAACTAGAATTTGCTTCTGCCTGAGATGCTAAATGTCTATCTTGTGCTTGTCCATCTGCATTGTTGCCTAAATATTCAGCTAAACCAGCAGAAATTCTACCATTAGTACCGTAACTGTCCTGGGGTTCCAAGTTTGTTCCTGTCCTTGGTGCACCCGGAAAGGAAGCAGATTCTGACGGATAAGAAGAGTTCAAGCGAGGTCTCTCTGCATCAACACTCTCAAAGATGGTAGAGCTGGAACCAGAGGGGTTGTCGCTAGAGTTCATTCTCAAATTTCTGAATCTATCAAGGCAATTTGAATGCCTATAACTCGTATCACAAATGTAAGATCTGCAACCTTTTTCATATGAAGTGCATAAAAGAACCACAGCGTTGTGAGGATGATCCATGCAGATAGGGCAAAGAACTTCATCACATTGCTTTTGTAAAGCATATATATCTGCATCCTTGGAGGTGCTTTCTTTTTTATCTGTCATCTTGATCACACTGCCACAAGTTGTTCGGAGTATTATATTGATGACAAATGCATACATGGATTAATCATCACCAACTACATTTAAGAGCTACCATATTTGTAAAAGCAATAAGTTCTCTAACAATTTTAAGAAAAAAGCAAGACCAAATAAAAGTATAGAACATATCATGAACTTCGAACTGATAAAAACATCTAGTACATCTACAATTGATAAAGAATGATGGTGGACATGTATACTTGATAAAAGATGATAGTGGGCAAAATGGTTGCACGAACAAATGCAATCGATGAATCAAACAACACAACTTCGACCTAGGAAGCATCTTATACAAATGCAGATGATCATTTCTTATCATACATTTAAGTTCACTGAAGTATCAAAAGGCAAGGAAATTTGTAATGCCAAAATTTGGACCATAAAATGAGGTCAACATCGTTGGATAATGAGATTTATTTAATGGTTTCATGGATACACAGCTACGGTGAAGAATGAGGTTTGGGTATTCTGCAGTAGTTTCTTTTATACAAGATTAGTTTCTTCGCAACACCATCTTATCCCTCGTTCACTACTGGCAGAAGATATTAGAAGAAATTTCTTTTAAAAAATTACTGCTACAGTGATTTTTTTATAGAAAAATAAAAAAATCTATTATATTAAATGACGTACAACACGCTAACGTTTGTGAAGATTGCTGCTACTAGAATGATTAACCTTATATTGTAGTCACCTGCTACAATCAAGTTGAAATAATAAAGAAAACATGGATTTCACTCTCAAATTTATTTAAGAGGCACAACATATCATTCTTGAAACTTTAAATGTGAATTTAAATAGTAACATTAAGTTCTAGAACCACCTCATATCAAAAACTCAAATGACGCAAACGATATTGACTTTGTAGCTTTGAACATCTAAAACTGTTCAGGTCAAAGTGTAGGAATAAGCAACATCACACCCATAACTGAGGCAAAGAAAATATATACAGAATCCCTTTATATTTGGGATATGTATTGTCCAAACTATCCTTTCCTTTTGCCCTTTCCAATACCAAATTTTCCTTCTCTTTTTCTTCTGCTACCAACACAATCTCAAGTAAATCTTCCAGCAGTTTTATGCCACAGGTGAGGTGCCTCCAGACTTAGGTAACAGTATTAGCAAGTTGGATGAAGTTCAGGGTCAAGAGACATTTTTGAACAAAGAATAGTTAATAATCAACTCCCAATATCTTTATGATCTACTGTATTAACCTCGAAGTTCATTTCCTAGAGAAACACATCATTTGGTTGCTGCTATTATGCCTTGAGCAAACAATTTGAAACATTCATAGAAATATAATACATAAGTTTAACAAGTAAAACATAAGCAAGACAAAATAGCAATCACATAAATGATTAAGGCTTGCGACTTCTCCCTCTCTGCTTGTGACTTCTCACTCTCCATGCGTGCAACGTTTACCATCCTCCAACGCCTGCCTCTCCCTCTCCCTCTGACGATTCTCATTCTATTAATCCTACAACTCTACAAATAGGTATCTCCAACTTTTACAAATTGACCATTTAACATGCGCATCTGGTCCTAACATAAGCACCTCAAACATCAGATTTGTATAGAATCAATTTCATACAAAAGCATGAACTCGTTTTACTCCATTGGCATTTGAGATAGTCTTAGTTGGCAATTATTTTTCTTCTACAAAAATGAACAGGTGTATTACAGTAATAGAGTTGCAATACACTCCCAGTTCTGCACCTTGGGGGGAGGGTTTAAGAAACTTATGACCTCCAAAGTTGTAATTTATATATTTGGAGGTCACCAAACTCATCAAGGGGAAAAAAGAAACAACCTTATTCTTTTCTCCTGCTTATAGGTTTGAATCTATCCAAACTTTGCCCTAGAAATGCAGCCTTTAGTCAACTCAAACAGGGAGGATCACAATAGCCCTTTTAACATCAATTGAAGCCCGGATGCAGAAGCAGACGCCTCCAAGTTCAAATAACCACATAAAATATTGCTGGAAAGAACACCTTAGTATCACAGAAATTTGATGATAGACAAATTAAATATTTGACCGAGATTAAATTTAACCAAAAAGACATTCACCACCATAAAGAAGCATCTTCTCTCTTTTTAGTAAGAGAAAAACTATTGCCTTCAGATCTAACAACTCCTAACATGCACACAGAAAAAGGTCACGATAACAACAAAAATAATAAAGATAGACATAGAAGAGAACAAAATAAAAAGTTTCTTCTGTCAGTTCCCTATCACGATCCGAAGTCAAAAGCCGGTCCTTTGACATCAATATGTAGATTGTTTAATATGTTCATAATTAACAGAAATAAGGGGAAAAAAAAAAAAGAACTTTGTCCACGAATCGGGCAATAGGCAGGTCGAACGAATCGAAGATTTTCCAAACCCAAAAGAAGAAGAATCTAACCTTAGTTACCGAAAAGCACGCAAGTCCTACGTCGCGACCTGTAAAACAAAGATCCACAGAAGCTGGAGTAAATAATACAGCTAACCTAAGTTCATAATCAGCCCAAAATTGGAACAGATCGCTGGCCAACGACCGGATCTAAACCCAAAAAAAAGGGAAAAGGAAGAGCACACAAGAAAAAAACTGTTCTTGGTAGAAAAGAACGCAAAAATTGTACAAGAAGCTCCACCGAATAGTTCCTCTTCTTCTTCTTCTTCTTCTTCTTCTTCTTTATCGTCTTTTTATCCCAAAAAAGAAAGATTTTTTATCTCTTCTTCGATTATTCTTTCGACTTCTTCTTTTACCGTCATAAAAATCTAAAAAACGAGAGAGATTGAACTCTTCTACTTCGTCTTGCTCTCGTGATCTTTATCGCTGAAGAGACCAGAACGAGACCAAGGGTTTTATTGACAGGAGTAGCGTGGGCGAAGAGAAGGAAGGCGGAGGACGTCGCTCACCGACTCTATTCAGCGAACCGCCGCAACCCATCGGCGCCCCAGACCGAACCCACGGAAGGCTGGCGGCCGAGGCTTCGCGGTGCTTGGGTCAGCCTTGGTTCGCATCTCCTGTGAATGATCAAGCACGAAACACCATTTTTTCTCTTAGAAATGCATGACGGGCATGGGACCCACTTTTATGCGTTCTGGGGCATGGTTGTTCCCTGTTACATGAGGAACACGGGAAAATTATGTACCCATTTGGACCGTGCACGATCTTTTTCCACCCGTTTCGGAATCAACAACTTACCGACCCGGCTTTCGGTGTGGTGGATGCCGTGGCCAGTGGCGGGTCCCATAGTGCTGCTCTTTCCTATGGGTCTGCCGACGGTGACGAGGGTAGGTGTCGGAAACCTCGATCGCACGAACGGCGTGTTGAATCTGAGTCGACCGACAATTGTGTGAGACGGTTCGATCTTTTCGCTTTAAACCGGTTCGATTCTCGGCAAATTTGTAAGATCAAACACAAAGAGGGTCTATTCTCTCTCTAATAGTACGATACGATTATTATTATTATTTTCGATCAATAGAATTAGATATTTAAAATCTATTCAATATAAGAAAATATTCATTTTGGATGGATAAATATGATTTTATCCTTTCAAGATATTTGCTAAAATATTTATTTAAAGAGTAGAATATGAGACTAAATGTACTTATGGTACATATCTATTAAGGAGGATGAATCAATAATCATCCTCAATTTATCTTTTGGGATATATCTCTAAACGATAATATAGGGGGGTGTCGTCCAAAATAAATAATTTCTTAAAAGATTACTTGTTGTTAGTAAAGTATTTAAAATATATATATTTTTATTAAATTGATAGTTAGATCACATGTAAAACAGTCTTCTTATTAGTTATATTTTTTCCTTTCGAACATTAAAGATTAAATTTTATTCATAATAATAATAATAATAATAATAATTTTTGCACGTAATATCGGAACTCCATTTTTACATCCTCATCATCATCACATCCCATCACTGGTCTGACTCGTTCAATCCAGTCCAACTCAGGACCCGAGCGAGTCATATGCGGTTCACCGGGCCCATGTTCGCTTCGAACCGAGTCGACCCAGTGGAATCGCCTGTCCCAGATGCGTCTATATTGTTGGCGAGTCGAATCGGTGCCTTCGGCGGACCGACGCACGAACACAGGGCAAGAGATGTTCCGGCGGCGTGTGACTTCTCTGGCTTCCCTCGCTTCCAGCCTCATCAATTCCACCCCGAGTTCGAGGATCTCTCCGTCTCGCCATCCCCGTTCCTGCCTGTAATCCATTCGATTTCCGCCATCTCGATCTTGTTGTTGTTTGTTGGTTCGTTGTGGTTAGAGGATGCATATTCTTGGTGCAGTTCCTTCTTTGCTGCTGCTTCCTCCTCCGCGGAACCGGCCGCGAGCACCGGTAGTGACACGGGTAAGAGGGGGAAGAGGTCCTTTGGCCGGAAGCTCTTCCAGATCGGCTTGATTAGCCTTACGGGAGGGGTTTTTCTCAGTGGGCTCAACGATCTCGCTATCTTCCATGGCTGTAGCAGGTGCGGGTTCCTGTCCTGGTGGTTATTGTTCTTTCCTGTCGATTTCTGTTACTTGAACCTGGGTTTACCAATGCCAATTACTGCAATTGCATGACAAATTAGCGGGATTGCTGCCTTTTTCGCCCTTCGATCACATCAAGTTGTGAAAGAAAGCGTTAATTAATCTCTAAGGTTCTTTTTCCCTGTCGATTGCTAACTTGATCTGCTTTTGTTCTGTCACCTGAGCCCCAATTCCCGAGGTCTATATAGGGTTCAGGTTTTGTTCTATTTCAAGTTTGGGCGTGGGGTTGAATCATATGGTCCAAGTAGATGGTTTGCACTCCTAGGATGGGTACTTGTTATCTTAGTAGCAGTTTTCAGGACAGTTATAACTAGTCTGTATTAGTGAGGTAGAAATCTGAGGTCTTTGTTCATCAGCTCCTTGTTTAGGATCAATAGTGTCACAATAAGATTCAAAATTATGGCTAGAGAAGGAACAGATTAAGGAAACTTGAAAGTGATTTTTAGTCGTTTTCCCTCTTGAGTGACCATGAGTGCCGACTAGATCAGGAATGGTGTTCGGTTAACTTATCTTAGTTATGGTAGATTCTCGGTTGTAGGTTCTAGTCCATCCTTCTTCTCTTGTCTCTGTCCTTGTTCTATTCTATTATGTTGTGTAGGAAAGTTTCATACAGCAAAGTATACTTCATTCGATGAGCTGTAGAATGAGTTACAATGAAGCCCCCTTTTTGCACAGAAAGGTTATATCGACACAGTGTTATCAAGAAAAACAAAAACAACCAGCTCAAGTGGAGAGGAACCCCTTTGACAACTAAACTAATAGTTTATCACAATCCCATGTCTTCTATGTGCTTTCCTTTCATATTTTGGATATGATCTGAATTGCTGTTTTTATTTGTGATTTATGCTGCTCTTAGACCCTTTAAATAATGATTTTCAAGAACTTTTTGGAAAGAAGATAAGATGCTTGCTATCTATTTTGCTAAAATGAATTTTTGTTCATTTTCCTAAGTTGTTTGGCGTTTTAATAATGTGAGAGGTTAATTTTGATTCTAATAAATCGTAGTTGTGTTAGCTTTTATTGTGACAGAAGCATGTCACATGAATTAAATTGCATTGTAGAATTTTGGTCCAAAGAATCAAATGTAACTTTATAGCTTATATAGCTGAGGTCCAAGTTATGAATCACAAACTATAGGCATAGTGCCCTGTGGCTAAAGATCTTGACCCTGTCTCTAGCAACTGCATGTTACAAAGTGGCTACAGTGGAATAATGCAGCCAGGCTTAAATTACAATCAGATCTAGTTTGTGTGGTGTAGGTATTCAAGTTGATTTTTCTTATTCTTTGAAATTTTTAGGTGCAATTATTTAGTTGCCATTCATATGAATCGTAAGAGTTATTTACATAGTGTGCCAAGTATTTGGTATTCTTCCAATAAGATATTTCTTCTTCTTCTTCTTCTCCATGATTAGAGGAGTTTTAGAAGGATGCAAACTTGCTGACTATAATGTGGTTTGACTATGTGAATCTAAGGTGTTTTAGACTTTTTAGTTGACTGTCATATCCCCTTCTAAATGACCATAGGCATCATAATAAATTAATCAGAGGATCCTTATAGTTGATCTGATCACATAAAATACTTGACTTCTGTCAGATTTTTTTTTTCTTGCAATCATTTAAGATACTTAATCCTTCCCAGATTTATAGTTTTCTTGCTTACATGCAGATCCGTTCCATTTGGCTAAATCAGTTTAGGAAATCAATTAGTATTTCATTGCTATATGTAACCTTAGCGTTTAGCATTCATTCTGTGTGATACAATGCTTTTATGGTGCCTCTGCACAAGTTTAACTTGCGGTATCAGGATTTATAGCTTTTGGATTTTGTAAATGGTGGAGATTACGGGTTACGAAATTGTAACTTCTTATTTCATGGCTGGGTCTTGCTGCTTGGTCAATTTTTTTTTGTGCTAAATGTTGTATAATTCATATGCGTTATTGTATTTCATCTAGAAAAAAGATTTTGATAAGTCGTCTTATGGTCACACAATGAGAATCTCATGCTTACCATCTTACTTTGACCTGTTTCAGTAAAGCCATCGAAAAGGCTAGCCAGAATCAGCAAATAGTAGAGTCTCTTGGCCTGCCAATAGTAAGGGGCCCATGGTATGATGCATCTCTTGCCGTTGGTCACAAGAGGCATTCTGTATCCTACACATTTCCTGTTTCCGGACCACAAGGATCTGGCATATTTCAGTTGAAGGCTATTCGCCAAGGAGGTTTTGTCTATGCATTTCTGATATAGATTCATTGGTTTTGTCTTGTCATTATATGTTTCTGCTGTTCACTTTGTCTATATCTTTACATTTGGGAAATAGTAGCGACGATTAAGAGTTTGATATGTGTAATTTTAGTCTGATAAAATTCCTTATTAAGATACTGGATTTTGATCATCATCTCTTTCCGCACTGCAGATGAGACAAACTTTTCGTTTTTAAGGCATCATGACTGGGATATACTGATAATGGATGCTCTCCTTCATGTTCCCTCCAATGATGAGAAGCACCAGACCGTACGAATAAGTCTTTCCGAGAATAATTCCCCGTTGCCATCCATGGAGTGCAAGGAGTGCAGACTTTCAGAATCCGCAATGCCTGAAAAATGAGATGTCTATTTTGTGTGGGTTCTGCCTGCAAATGATACACCAATCCTGTAGAGAATATTTTGACACCTACTTAGCTAATAAAAGTGCTGGTATGATGCCATTTTTTTTATGAAAAACATTTGTCTAGATCACCCTATGTGTTAGTGTCATAAGATGCGGATAGAGCTTCATTGTAACTCTACATGATTCATTTAGTTAATTTTTTTTTTTATTTAATCTTATATGTATTTGGAAAAACAAGATTGCATTATGTCATTCGTTTGCTATGGTCAAAAGGGATTAGTGTGGTGTGGTGTAGGCAAGAACAACTACAAAATCCTTTTTTGAAGAGCAATTATTTTCTTTCCTTTTACTAACATTTTGAAAACTCATAGAATGTGGAATAAGAGCATGCCGGCAATTGAGGATAAATAGAGGTCAAAGCTCGATTGTCATGATCGATAAGATATGCTGTTTAATTATTGATGGATGGCTATTCTGGAGAATGTAGATCAGGTGCCAGTGAGGGCCTCTTTGCCAGTATAGATGCTAAATTGTGTGTTCTTTTTTCCCCCCCTTTTTAAAAGGACTCGAGTTCAGTGCTCTGTATAATTTGCATTGTTGTGCATGTTGGCATCAGTTGTTATTTGGTACGTAGACTTTGTTCTAGTCGGTCATCCCAAATAATCTCACTGTGGTCATTGTTTATTGTATCGTGAAGGCCAGGCTTCGTTATTAATGCTCTGCTGGGTGGTAAACGGAGGGAGGGAGGGAGCTTCACCGGTTTCACCTCTGTCATCAGTAATGGCGCCATCACCTTACTGCAGCTATCTACTTTCCGCTTCAGAGGGCCGACAGGTAGTAAGTAATACATTATTAACATTTAATCATGCATTCAAGAATATGCACGTCTCACTGCTAACAGAGGGAGATGAGTGGGAAATATATGTGTTTCCCTTCCGAGGGAAAATTACAAGTTTATTATGATGACGATACAAAGTTTATTGGGGACATAAAGAAATAATTGATTGATGCCAAAGGCGGTGCTTAATTGGGTCGGTCAATGTTTAGAGATGCATGCTTGTGCGTCTTCCCAATTGATGCCCAGAAATTTTGGATCCCATCCGACCATTTGACACCAACGTGAGCTGTTGGAACCGAAACGGGAATTCGTGGATCCATCCATATGTTTCTTTTCGGTTGGTCAATTGGGAACCGAAACGGGAATTCGTGGATCCATCCATATGTTTCTTTTCGGTTGGTCAATTGGGAACGGAAGCTTTCTTATTCGTGTTTATGAGAGACCAGAAAGATAAAATACATGTATCATCACATGGTCGAGCATTAATTTACACACCATTCATGCATGCATTCATGCATTGCAAGTGTTTTGTTCGGGTAAATAGAGGTCGACTCGGTGTTGCGACCTCCGCCGAGTGAGTGCGTCACGGGCGGCAGAAGCAGCACCGGCTATTAATTGTCACCCTTCCCTCCTCCTCTTCAATATCCCTGTGCACAATTAGCTCAGACCTCTCTCTCTCTCTCTCTCTCTCTCTCTCT